GCCATTTCCCCAAATTCCAATTAATCATTTACAGCCGAAACGTGTGGAAGGGGGTTGAGCGATTAGCTCAAATTCCTCCATAACTCTTGGTCCAAAGCACACGATTTTCTAGAAACCAAGGCAGCCAAGACAGATTGGTTGCAAACCTCTTCAGCCAGTTCCAACAGATTTACATTGATAAAAGACAACTACTTTCTCTTGGAAATTCGAGATGTCAAAATCATGTTATTTCTGGGCAAAGTCACTAAATGGATCTCCAGAGCTATATCCATTCAGTCCATCAAGTCCGCAGTAACACCAGGCCTTTCAGAAGAAAGAAGAGAGTGGGTAAGAGCCTCATCAGAGAATGTGGTAGAAAAGTAAGCCTCCCAGGACTGGCATTCCACTTTCTCTTTTAGAAGTGCCTGACAACATCAAGCAGAACTACTGATTGTGGGGGACTAAGAAAATTGTTTCATTATCTCTCTCTGGAGAGATTACTAACTCTGATCCTCTGCTTCCTAAAGCCTAAAGATGCACAATACCTATATGGAGAAAAGCCTAGGTAAGATTTAAACTCTGAAGGTGCCTAATAAGATATCTAATGCTCCACAACACAAACTAGGCTCCCTTTCAGATAGCGTTGCAGTAAAAAGTGAAATAACCTGGTTTTTCCTCAGTTTCACAAGGTTCAAATCACTGAAGTTGGATTCAGTTAAGAACTGTGATCTAATGGATTTGAAAGTGACAGCAGCTTGCTCCAGAAAGCAAGCTTTCACAGCATCAAGGTCTTATTTGGAAATTTCTGGGGAATGATGAGGTACAGAGAAAAGCCTCACCTTAACCATTCTGATACACCCTGAAGGTGAAATGGTTAGAGCTTGGCACTATGACATTTTGAGTCTAAATATTCTGCTTGATGGGATATTGCAAAGAACCTTGACTTCTGGTGCTTTAGTCAGATGAATCCATCTGGACTCAGATGACTAACCCACCTGCTTCTATTCTTCTTGCAATCCTTGCATAGGTTAACTTCTCCAAATTCTAGGAGTTTGAAAGAATACTTATCAGACCTTAATTTTACTATATCTGCTCTGCAAAAAGAACACACACACCAACCAACCAACCACCCTACCAGCTACTGCTCAAAAGGATTTGATTATTCACATGGCACATGTGGGGCTCTGAGGAGGTGCCAGTCAGAAGACTACTGCATCAATATGATTAGAAGTTTCTAACTAAATCCGCACAATTATTTCAGACTTCATATTCTTTCACTGATGCTTCAGATAAAATAAATATAGCCACCAGCAACCTATAAAACACAATTCACCACACTTATATTTTCTATTTGACTGCAGTAGCTCAGTCAATGGGTGGAGGACAGGGATGGGGGAAGGGAAGAGGGATAGGGAGGAAAGGGAAAAATGTTAATTGTTAATTTAAATGTTTTGCTAAGAGTTTTAAAGATGGCTTATCTTCCCAATGACTTCTGCACAAATAAACCCTTAAAAACCTTTGACTGCTAAATTAGACCCACAGAGGAAAATCTTTATACATTTAAGTTGCAGCACAAACTTGACTTCCAGAGATGTAAGCTAAGGTCAACCTTCAGTCATCTTTGTGATGGGCATTTACGTAAATTCAAACCTTGTTACCATATGCAAATCAACATATACAGCATATTCAACAGCCCTAGAGAGTATTTGTTGTGAGCTAACTATTTGCATAGCAACTTCCTCATTTAGTCTGAAGGTGTAAAAGAAAAAAGTGCATTTTCTAATAATTTTATGTTTTAGAGGTTCTTCAATATGTTTGGTACAGTGTTTGCAAAACCTCAACCTAAAGATGAAAATCTTCCAAAACTAAGAGTTGTAAAACTAATTTAATTTCTACTAAAAATCGCAAGTCCAGTTACTAGTGTTTCTTATTTTCTGAACAATTATCTAGTCACTCTGCATTTGTTTTTTTGACAATGCATAACAAGAAAAACATCTTACTAGATAAAAGTAACAAAATCCAATCTGTCTGGTCATGACAATAACCAGGTATAACCAAGAGGAGCTTCAAAACAAACAAACAAACAAACAAACAAACAACCACCACCACACAACCCCACACAACCACCACCCCCCCCCCACACACACACTATGCTGATACCTTTATTTTAATTCATTGCAATAAGATACTCAAGCAACAGAATTAGAAAGTGTGTTTCTGATGGAAGTTTTAAGCCCCACCAAAACGTTTCTCACAGTACTTCGAAATTAATAACTATATATTACCCTTGAAATCTAATTGCACAGAGTCTGTAACTTTGTTCTAAGGTGTCAAGATTGTTCCCCACTCTGGCACTTCAAGTGCAGAAGGTGGGGACCCACAAGAGACCTTAAAAAATACCTTGCCCCTAAATGCTTCTGCTTAAATAACTTCCTAAGGTCACAGATTCCATGACCTTGGGTGGTACGCTGCCACCACATGCAAAAACCCCTTAAAAGCCAGGAAGATGCACTTGTGAATTTCTTCCTATGGGCTAACCCAAAACTCTTTAATCCTCCCTCAAGAGATTACAGTTCTTTTTCAAGATCTCTCCTAATAACTGACCTTCAGTCTCAAACACATGCATACAGAATCTCCTGCCTTCTAGGATACAGGAATCAGATTATAGTCTTAAAAAGGTGATTTTATTAACAAAACAAAGATGATGAATTTGGTAAAGTATCTTGGTTGCTAGGTGTTAGAGCGCTACTAAAACAACAGATTAAAGCACAGTGAATTGCTTCCTTGGGATTCAGTTACAGTGGACAGGGTTTTTTTTAAAGTCAGCACAGAGAAGTCCTACAAACCAAGAAAAATAACCTGCCTGTCTAACTATATATTCCCTGTCTACTCACATCTGTTGTTTCAAGGTTTCATCCTTTCTAGGCATAGATATTGCTGAAAATGTCATGTCTGGCACCAGGGCTTACTTAATCTTTCTTCCAGTTTCTGCTCTTAATTCACACAAAGACGACCAAAGCAAGCAAAACCTATTTCAAATTTCTCACTCTTCCCATTGACTTTCCTGGCTCCCTACCAAAATTTCCTGAATACCCACTGTTCTAGGTTTAACCTTTTATAGGCAATTTAGCTACTGAATACTGGGATGTCTAGAAAAGGGTAGCACCCATCCCATCCATCACACAAGGTCTCAGAGGAACAGATACATGCTGATTACTGTGAAATAAAATATTATTTTGAATAAATTAAAGAAATATAGTTTGCTCATTGTAGCCTTATAACCAGAAAACATTACACCTTCATGAAGTCAAGATATCCCATTATAAAACAGAGAAAGGAGAAAATTTCTTTGCACGATAATTTCCTTGACAGGAAGCTATAGAATCATGTACACACCTATCTCCTTCAGCTGACTTCCCGTGTGATAGAAAGAGGGCTCCTTTAACTATAGGAGCATCTGTAATCAGCTGGGCCAACTATCGTGACAACAAGGACTTTAATATTTACCTAAATAAACAGTTTTATTGTGGACTCAAGCTGCTATTCTAAATCACACTCTGGAGTGTGCCTGAAGAGTGAAACCATTCCGCAGATGAATGGCAAAACAAAAATGGGTGCAGAGTTTGGAAAATGCAGGTTTTTAGAATGGGCCTGCAGAGGGCAAGGGTTTGTTAATACATCAGAGCACAGATGTCACCCCACTGTGCAAGGCCTTACTAGAGTATTATTTTTACAGCATGACAACATGAATTAATTTAGCTTCATATTGGGTCACCTGTTGTCCTACATCCATGACCCTTAAGACATAGTAAAATGCACCATTGTTATAGTAATGGGATTTTATATAATCTTGGATCATCAATAAATCCAACAAATTTATCCAGTGAAATATTATGAACTGGTTGAATAGTTTGCTTATTTGCAATGAGGCTGCAACTGAGATCAAGGCCTCATTTTGTTTACAATGCCTACTGCAAAACAAGATACAGTTCCTGCCACAATTATATGTATTTTTGGTAAACATATAGAATTCGACTACTGAAATAAAAAAAATAATCCATAAACTGACAATTTAACTGGATGTTACAGACTAGGAGTATAATCTGTAGTATGTCTGAAAAATAGGAATAAACACTCAAAAACCAGACACTAGCCCACACCGATTTTAGGTTCAACTCTTTAGGAAAATGTGTATCTAAGTATAAATGTATACACCTGACTTGGGTATGCAAGTCCCTAGTGTGCAACTAAATATAGGTATACATATAATCTGACTATACCTCTCTAGTGGGATTTTGCATGCACTTTTCAGATTGTGGGCCTTAGTGCCACTAAAGAATGAAGAAAGGCCAACAACTGAAGTAAACATTTTACTTTTACCCCCAAACATTATTTACAAAGGCTAATCAATGTAACCTCTTCTGAACTGATTAAAGTAACTGTTTCCTAGACTAAAAAGCTTTCTAACCTCTCTAGTTCCTCACTCTCAGGTCCCGCAACAGCTGTGGTCTGGCCTGATTTTAGTTAGCTGATGTCTACTTATCATGGGTGGGATCAAGTTTCCTGTGGTCCCATAAAGTTTGTTTACATCTACCAGTCCTTGCTCTCAGTGCTCTGTGCTGTTATTTAGCTCTAATTTACCCCTAAAAGACTTCTAAGAGCTCAGTAAGCAATAGAAGGGTTTGTAATGCTACTAGAAAATACTGACTTCCCATGGTCTAGCAAATTTTCTGGTTCAGCACCGGCCAGGTCCTAAGGGTGACAGATTGGAGAGGTTCAACCTGTATTAAGTTCCTGTTCAATAATGGAACTGGACAATAGGGTTTACTAGAAATACCAAGTATAGCAGTACAGGCACCATGGCCGAGTCCCGAGCAGCACCATTCTGAAGACTAAATATTACTCAACAGAACAAATATTACCATTTTGTAATTTTCTACAGATATGCAATAATCTCCTTTCTGATTACATCACTAAGATGATTATTTTTCTTTTAGGTAAACAAAGGTAAACAAAGTTACCTAGTATTCATTTTGTGTGTCTGAAAACCTAAATAGGGATCAAGAACCAAACTAGTTGCCAGGTCATCATTTTCACACAGCTCCTTGGCAGACATTCCAGAGGAAGGCACATAGCGACTTTGGCCCTCAAATCCTGATGCACCACTACCTGCGAAAAGCAAAAAACACCAGTGTTAACTAAAATAGAAAACTATTCAATCTTACAGTAAGGGTACTGTAAGAGGACAACTCCACCAAGGATAACAGCAGTAACAAAAAGTAGGTGGCACCGCACTAGTGCAGGTCAGGCTATGATGCTTTCAATCAGCTGGGACACCAGCTAAGTAAGTCCCATCCCAGCCTGCTTTGTTGATTGGATAGGGGAAGAAGCGAGATACATGGGTGTGATCTCAGCCCTGTGAGTGCATGATGCAGATTTTCATTCTTTCACATTTTATTTCATTTCCTTTGTTCTCTGTGTCCAGGACCATGAAACTATGGCTATCTTTCTTGGACAGGATGAAAGACCTGACAGGAGATCAGCTTCTTCTGATCCTGGGCTGACATAGATCACCTAGACCAAGCTATTATTTAAACATAGCCAGGAGACTGACTCAGAGGGAGTTTGGGTGAAGGAGGGGGTTGTGACCTTGGGTAGGAGATTGGGGAGCAAGGTAGGGATGTCAACGTGTATTCATTAATCATTTAAGTTGACTAAGACTGATCTTATCAGTTAATTCTAGTGACTACATGTCTCAGAGACAGTGGGGGAAGGGAAGGAGGAGTGAACTCTTGTGATACACATGTAAATGTTAGTTATTAGCCATCATATATTAAGAATGTTGTTTCCCTCTCTCGCTCCACCGAATTGAAAATGTATTCAATTTAAATTATTTGCATTTAACTTTTCAATGGGGCTCAATAGATATTTATTTCTGAAATAATCATGACTGAATTATAAGCATAATAAAAATAGTCTGTTGCTAATTGAGGGGGGCAACAGCTTTCCCAGTGAATTAACCGTGTATCACAAGATTTCAGAATAAACAATTAAAAAGCGAACGAATCAGCAAGCAAGATGTTATTGTGATTCACAAATCACATCCCCACCTATAAACATGTACATACATCTGCTTGATCTTCTCTCAACTCCATTTTTGCTAGTCTTTGGATTCTCCTTTCCAGGGTGCTGCAACTTGGACTGATTCTGCTGATGTTCGTTAGACAACTTGCCTCCATTTCTCCTGCCATTCACCACCATGTTCTTGGATTCTCCCAGCCACTTCATTCCCACAGATAGCCTGACCCAGGTGCATTTAGTCACTTTTCAAAAGGCTTGGAGAAGTGGGTCAATAATTTCACTTTCAATTCCTAATGGGGGAAAAAAAAACCATACAAAAAGATTAAAACTAATCTATTTTCAAAGTACAACTTTTAAGAAAAAACTCTTAGGTACTCAGGAGCTTTAAGAATTGTTACACAGCCAGAAGATCCATAAGGAATCACACACACACACACACACACACACACACACACAAAACAACCCACAACACTCCAAGAAACCAGTTGAGTACTTGCTAGTTTCAATAGCAGCCAGCTCCATCCCTGGGACACCTAGGCTGTGTCTACACTGGGCCACTTATTCCGGAAAATCAGCCGCTTTTCCGGAATAAGCTGCGAGCTGTCTACACTGGCCCTTGAATTTCCGGAAAAGCAACGATGCTCTACTGTACAAAATCAGCCACTATTCCAGAAAAACTATTCTGCTCCCGCTCGGGCATAAGTCCTTATTCCGGAACACTGTTCCGGAAAAGGGCCAGTGTAGACAGCCCAGTAGTCTTTTCCAGAAAAAAGCCCCAATCGCGAAAATGGCGATCGGGGCTCTTTTCCGGAAAAGCGCGTCTACATTGGCCATGGATGCTTTTCCGGAAAAAGGGCTTTTCCGGAAAAGCAGCCTGCCAATGTAGACCCTCCTTTTCCGGAAAAACTGAAAACGGAATAGTATTCCGTTTTAAGCATTTCCGGAAATTCATGCCAGTGTAGACACAGCCCTAGTGTTGGCCTGCCTCACTCCTCCATTCTTCCTCCCTTTCATCAAGCAGTGGCAGACAGTTAGGGTGCAGACGTTTGTCTTGGGTTAAGAGATTTGAAGAGTTAAGGGATTTGGAGTTGCTCTGAGCTGAGCCTGGGGCAGGGAGTTGAGGTGCAGAAGGGGGTTAAGGGTATAGGCTCTGTAAGGGAGTTTGGTTCTGGGGGAGGGGCTAGGGCAGGAGCTTGGGGTACAGGAGGAGGTTTATGACCGTGACAAAAGTTCAGAATGCAAGCTCCAGCTGGACACAGCTTACCACACGTGGTGTAGAGGAGCTAAGGCAGGCTCACCCCTGCCCAAGCCCCGTACCACTCAAAAGCTGCCAGCAAACTCCCTCCATCCCAGGCCCTGTTGTGCCCCTCTCTATTCTCTGGAGATAGATTACAGGATGGGAGAGGGGGCACCCTGACATCAGCACCCCTTCCTCTTCCTTCCCTGCCCAACAAGGGGAGGAGGGAAAAGGGGGGACAGCTCCAAGGCAAAGGGCAGGAGGTGCACAGCAGTGGGGGAAGGGGCAACTGAAGTGCTGCACTTGATAGCCTCTTGGCCAAACCAGTCAGATCACTTGTCAGAGGCTTCAAGATCTACTACTAGATCCCAATCTACTGGTTGGTGACCACTGGGCTATGTCTACATTTGCAAGTGTTGGTGAAGAAAGTGCTGTCGACAGACAAAAGTCGCCCAAACTGGAAACTCGCCAAACCAGTTTTTCCCGGTACCTGCGGTTTACCATGGCCACATCTGTAGCTCCCTCATCAACATTAAGAATAAAGCATTGTGGGTATGCATCCCCCAGTACATTCCATCACCTTCACTCCCTAAGCCCTGTGGGAAAGCGCAATGTCGCACGAGGCATGTTGGGAATATGAAAGACGGCCATCTCTTTTCTTCCCAGATAGCCATAGTTTCCAGTTTACTTTCATGCCAATTAAAGCATCCATGGCAAGAAAACAGGCATCCCAGCCTTCTGGCCCTCATCATGAACAGTGTACAGAAGACATCATGCATTGCAGCATATATGCTTATGAACCTATTAGTGCAGGGATGGGGAACCCTTTTTGGGTTGGGGGCCACTGACCCACAGAAAAAAAAAAGTCATTCAGGGGCTGCACACAATTGAGAAAAACAAAACAAAAAACACCCACTCCTCACCAGTGCGGGCTCCCCAATGCAGAGAGAAGCCCTGAGCTTCAGGGACCAGATCCAGGCAAGCCAGGGACTGCATCCAGCCCCTGGGCCGTAGGTTCCCCACCCCTGTGCTAGTGGATGATGAGTCAGATTCATATTCCTATTCAGATTTGTATTTAGATTCAGAGCATGATGAATTGATATAGATTCAGAGGACGATGAGTTGATAAATCACTGGGCTATGGCAGACCTGGTGTACACCATGGATTGTCACTTTTGGGGTAGGGAAACCATCTGAGTGGTAGGACCACACTGTCATGCAGGTGTGGGATGAAGAGCAGCAGTTGCAGAACTTTCAGATGCATAACGCAACCTTACTTTAACTGTGTGCTGAGCTAGCCCCTAAACTGCATCTCAAGGACACCAGAATGAGAGTTGCTCTCCTGGTAGAGAAGTGTAGGGCCTTTGCTTTGCGAAAGCTGGCCACTCCAGATTCACAACAGAATGGTAGCAATCATTTTGGAGTGGGCAAATCTACTGTCAAGGCAGTACTTATTGCCATGCACACTTGGGCTACATCTATATTGGATCCCTCTTGTGCAAAAGCCTATGCAAATGAAGTGTGGATTAGCATATCACTGCAATTCATTTGCGTAATTAATTAGGGGACAATTTCGCGCAAGAGGCTTTTGCACAAAAAGGAGCCGTCTACAGTTTCTTTTTGTGCAGAATCCCCTCTTGTACAAGAGCCATTCTTCCGCATTTTTTGGGAAGAACGGCTTTTGCACAAGAGGGAATTTTTGTGAAAAAAGGATCTGTGTAGATGGCTCATTTTTGCACAAAAGGCTCTTAGGCAAAACCGGCCCCTAATTAATTATGCAAATGAAGCATGGTGATATGCTAATTCACACTTCATTTGCACAGGCTTTTGCGCAAGAGGGTAGCAATGTAGACTTAGTCCTGCAGAAATCACATTTTGATGGACAGTGGTAGAAATGTAGCCGTGTTAGTCTGGTGCAGCTGAAACAAAAACAAAAACAAAAACAGGACTGTGTAGCACTTTAAAGACTAACAAGATGGTTTAATCTGTGGCTCTGGGAAACGTGGATGACAGTGACTGGCTTTGCTGAAAAGGGCTTTTCTGAGGCAGGGCAATAGATGGGACATGCATTCCCATTATAGTGCCACCCCACTTTGCCCGACAGAACATCAATCCTAAGGGCTACGTCTCCATGGTGTTTCAGGTGCTTGTAGATCACTGTGGGCATTTCACAGACATAAGTGTGAGGTGGCCTGGAAAAGGTCACATCTTCAGGAAAAGTGGCCTGTAGTAGTATGTTAAATATCAGTTAATTGAACAGTCAAGTAACCTCATGAATTCTTATCGGTTACTCAACTATTCTATAGTCCCCGGGCTGGGGCCAGCAGCCAGTGCACTCTGGCACCACTTCCAAGGAGCCTCCCCCCTCCGCCACTCTGTGCTGCTGCCTCTGTATTAGAAGCAGCAGTACGGGGTGCCAGGCGGGAGCTGGTCCACAAGAGGAGCCAGTTTAAAAACCAACTCCCTCTTGTGGACTGGCTGCCTACTGCCCAATGCTGCTGCCTGATAGAGGCAGCAGCATGGGGTGGCAGCAACCACTGGACGGAAGAAGGGGTCTGAGCTCCCAGATGTGACGCAAGCCAGAACAGAGTTGAGTTGCCTGCCCTAAAACTCTTTAAATGCAGAGCTGCAGCAAAGGTAGGTCCTGGACCCATTGCAAGCCAGGTCAGAAATTTACAGTGGAGGATACAGGACTGAGCCAGGCCAGAAATTTACAGTGGAGGATGCAGAAATGCCCATAGTGCTCCTAGGTGACGGGATCTATCCCTGGCTCTTGAAACTTTACATAGGCCACC